TTCCACATGCACAAGCTTCTACAGCTCTGGGAGATGCTCTGTCCACACAGCATGCTGGAAAACATACCCTGCTGCTCCTGCTGCCACAGCACTACCAGGGGACAACAGACAAGCCATCCTGCACTGAGGAAGTTCCACTAAGGTCCCCAGCTTGCAGCTTCTGAGGCTGGACCACACCAAGCTGATTATTTCGTTCCCCACTCTCTGGATGGCTCAGCCTCCCAGAACCGTAGAAAGGAAGAGGCGTTCATATTTAGGAGACTGTAACTCTTTCTGGCTTTTCTTCCCTGAAATTCCCCAAATTGAATATCCCTGCTCTTGGAGAGCATGGTTAACAAACGCTGGTTTGGCACACTGGCAGCACCACACAACAGCACTAGTTAATGAAACATCAAGGTGGGGGCAGACTGGAAAGGTAACTTTTTAATAGCAAAGGACTTCAAAAGAAATAAGGAGAAAAGGGGAGAGAGCTACAGGAAACAGAAGTTGAAGTAACAGCACACCTAGATAGCTAATCTGCTGACCCTTCCATGATCTTTGAAGAGACATAAAGCAAAAAAAGTCATAGGGAATGGAACAAGAAATACTAAGCACGTGATAAGCAACTAGAAAACAATCATCTTTTACTGTCACTGTGCTATGAGTTCGGCACTGTGTTTCACAAAATAAATCATGGCTGTAAACCCAAGACTTCTGAATCGCTGGATAAAACATCAGAAACAGTGTCTTGAGTAATTCAACCCAGACCCAGCCATGGCAATCCCCTGAAATGAGGGCTGCACCCTCGCCTCTGCAACTGTCACTGCGAGAAGCTACCCAGGACCCCTGTGAACATCAACGTCCTTACAGATGTTTTGGTATTTATGTTCAATGCAATAGTACAGAATAAGCGTGCAAGGAGACGAAGGCATGGTTCGGGTTGCGTGTTTTTTTAAACTTTTTATTTTACTTTGCTTTGCAACTAAACTGGTGAAGCTGTACATAGGTTACCTCACAGCCTGTGGTATCAGTCCACATCTACTCTGCAGCTGCAGCTTTTTCAGCATGAGAACATGTTTTAGGCAAAGAAACTAAGCCTCTTTGTATTTCCTCAGGGCTGCCATCTCAACTTAGGGGTTTTTTCTTCTCTTGAATTAAGTCTAAAAAAAAAAAAACCTCTAAAATATTTTTACACATTAATTTATCTCTAAATAAGACCACATAATTTGCAACTATTTTAGTCACTTAAGCCCTACACAGGCAAAACTGAACTATCAGAAGTTAGAGCTTCGTGATCCACTGGGCTACAGAAACAGCACCCTGGTGAGAATGAGGGATGCCACGTGCGACACCATTCAACTTCCTACAGACACTACTACAAGACCAGACAGATGACAAGGCTGTAACACTTACCCTGAAAAAGGTGGTTTCAGTACTGGGCTTTCATGGAATCCCGGAATTGTTGGAGCTGGAAGGGACCTCCTAGAGATCATCTAGTCCAGTAGGTGGAGGGAGGTCATTCTCCCCCTCTGCTCTGTGCTGGGGAGGCCACAACTGGAATCCTGCGTCCAGTGCTGGGCTCCCCAGTTCCAGAGAGACAGGGAACTGCTGGAGAGAGTCCAGCCTGGGGCAACAGAGATGATGGAGGGATTGGAGCATCTTCCTGATGAGGAAAGGCTGAGAGAGCTGGGGCTCTTGAGCCTGGAGAAGAGAAGGCTGAGGGGAGACCTTATTAATGCTGACAAGGATCTAAAGGGTGGGTTGAAGGAGGATGGAGCCGGACTCTTCTCAGTGGTTCCCAGTGACAGGACGAGGGGCAACGGGCACAAGCTGGACCATGGGAAGTTCCACTCCAATCTGAGGAAGAACTTCTTTGGGGTGAGGGTGGCAGAGCCCTGGGACAGGCTGCCCTGCTTTGGCAGGGGAGTTGGACTGGATGATCTCTATAAGGTCCCTTCCAACTCCAACTCCTCTAAGCACCTGTAAGGACATCCAAAGGGAAACTCACTGAAGGCAGCCAGTGAGGATGATGTCCGCTGGCTGCCGGGGGCAGGACTCTGGCAGCCGGCTCTGAACACCTCCATCCCATGAGGTATGTTGAGCTGCATCCTCCCCACACCCACAGGGACACACCAGCCACGCAGCCACTCACCCCATCGAGGGGCCAGCCCTTCCAGGGCAGGGCCACCCCCGTGGGCTTGGGCTCCATGGCGAGCTGCTTCCCCAGAGCACACTGCACCATCTGTATCCTCCTGCTCGTTATGAGAAGGGTGCTCGATGGGGAGAGGTAACGAGCTGCGGAAATACCAGCGCGGCTGCAGGTGGAGGAGAACAAGCTGCTGTTTGGCCGGGGCTGAGGGGGCCGCTCGGCCCTGAATGCCGCGCGGTGCCCGAGCCCCCACAATAAACAAGGGCAGTCCCACAGCCCTGCGCCGCTCACAGCCGCTGCTCATGCTCTGCCTACTCCCTGGAGCAGTATTTTGCCACCCGGGCACACAGGAGGCCTGTGTAGGGAACATTAGGTCTTTAAGGTCATCATTAATGGCTGTTCTTCTCCCCAAAAAAGCCAGTCCTTGAACTGGTCATAAATAAAGCCTTTTTGTCCATGAGGTGAGGGAATGGAAGAAGCCTGCCCGGCACACAGAGAACTTCATGCCTCTTGTAACCTCACGGGCAGAAACGAAGAGAGTGTTTCCATACTAACCACTGACCCTACACACCTGGGTCTTCGGCAGAATTAATGCTTTGTTCATTTTTAAGGACAACACACGCAGAAATAATTAAAAAAATAAAATTAAGTTTTCTTCTTTGTACCTTACCAGAAGTTTCTATTAATAAATGGGCATACAATTAAAACATCCTCAAACTCCAGAGAGCGTTCAGGCTGAATTTAGGTTTTAAACCCTGGGCTTACAATTATTCAATTTCCAAAACAAGGGGCATTGCAGCCATAGAACACACGCAACAGCTAGCACTGCTGTGCTGCTCAGAAGCTGACAGCCAAGCAGCATCACCCACGAAACCCATCTTGACATATTCTTGGGCAGCGAGTAATGCTGGAAACACCCAGCCTCACAAAACCGTGTCTGCAGGAGAAAGATTAACGCAACACCCACACTATGAAGAAGTGATAAAAACTGAGACATTATTAGAAATGAGGATTTTTACAAGTAAGAAAGATTTGTGTTATTGGGAGAATGAAAATCTGGGATTAAGGCAGGGGCAACAGAAGGATGAGCTGCTGTACTAACAGGGAGCTGGGTAGGGCAAAATTACTCTGTGCATCCAGTGTTCATTTTCCAACAGACCCATCTCGATTGCTGCAGCTACAAAAGGTGTCACAGAAAATTCCCCATCGAGTTAAAACTCCTCTGAGCTACAACACTGAGGATGCCAGTTGGAGCAGCACATCGTGCTGTTGCCTGCTGTTTTGTCAGGCACAATCTCTGATGCGTTCTCGCTGTTGAGGCCTCAACCCCCTGGAACCAACCACGCTGTGGAACTGCACTGAGACAGAACCTGATTGTCCCTGTATGTATGCAAATTAATTGTGCTGATGGAGGGACACCTATCCAAGTGAAATGCCTTAACCCCCGCCTTTGATATCAACTCAGGAGGGCTGAAACCCATCAGCTGCCAAGACTGCATTGGAAGGGAGAACGTCACCCACACTCCGTGCCACACACCACCCTGGTGACAGATAGACCAGGGGGAGGATCACCAACGGGACATCATCGCTCTTTCATTACAATTACCAAAACCTCCCGTAATTAGTGAAATCATGCCTTTTCTCATTCCATCCCGTACCTGGCAGATAAGCAATGACAATACGCCTACTACTGTCAACCGGATAGCACCTGTTTTGACAGTCACGGTACAAAGGTCAGTCACAACCTTGCTTATAAAGGTCATTTATCCAGCCCAGGGTGAAGGCAAAGGAGAAAGATTTTTCTGGAAGTTCAGTAATGCCTCCCTCCTGCCACAGAAATAAAAAAAAAAACAAACAACCTCCCATACATGGCTCACATTTTGCACCTCCCTTCCCTGAAATAATCCCTAAACCACAGGTTTTCACGTTTCCAAGAACACCCTGCCACACAGGCACGCTTTGTTACGCGTGGTTTCAGTTGCATTCCTCTCTGGACAGATTACCAGTGTGTTTGAAACACATTAAATCCATCTGAAAAATTTACGACGAGGTTAAAAAAAAAATAAAAAAATCCAAGGGGCAAAAGCAGCCTGAGAGCCTTATGTCAAGATTTCTTATGGTTCTGATTTAAAACCTGGAAACGTATGCGCAGTCAGCGGGACCCGGGGCTCACACCCCAAACCCAAGAAGGGAGGGAGGGAGGGAGGGAGGGCAGCTGGAAAGCGCAAAACTGTTTCTTGCCGTGGCTGCGATTTGCAATTTTAATTTCTAAATGAATTACGCTCCGGATATTATTTTTTAATTTTTTTGTTTGCATATTTTTTTTAAAGAACCGGCTGTGGGGCGGTGCTGAAAGCCGGCGGGTGGCGGTGAGGGCTGTCTCACGGCTCTGCCACACGGGTGGGACCCAGGGAGGGGACACCCCAGCAGCGGGGGGGAGGCCATGGCTCACCCTTCTCGCTGACTCAACCTTCGGCCCGGCCGGGGAGGCCGCCGGGGCACCCGCTCTCGGCGGGGACGGCGGGCCCGGCGCTGCGGGTTGCCCGGCGAAGGGACGGCTGTCCCGCCGGGAGGCTGGCAGGACACACGCCTCGCCCGCCCCTTCGCGCCGAGGGGGACCTCCTCACGCCCAGAGCGCTCTCCCCCAGCCCCATCCCCGCACGGCTCCCCACCTCCCTCCGCAGCCCCTGGGTGTGCCCCGAGAGGAAAACCCTGGCTCCGGCGCCAGCGTGGAGCGGGCGGCGCCCACCACCGCCACACACCGCATCCCCCGCGCCCCGGGCCAGGGGAAAGCAGACGTCGGGACAGGGCTCTCCTCAGGGAGCCGGGCGCGCCCCGCAGCCCCCCGCAGCCCCCGCGGCGCGGCCCTTACCGTCTGCTGCCGGCTCGACATGGTGACGGCTGGTGCGGGGCCGGGCCGGGCCGCGGCTATAAGGGCGCCCGCCACACGTAGCGCGGCCCTGGGCCGGCCCCTCCCGCCTTGCGCCCGCCCCCGCCGCCTCCTCCTCCGGCCCGGCCCGGCCCGCGGGGAGCCCGGCAGCCCCCGGGCGGGGAGGGGGGGCAGGGGGTGCCTCCCGCCGGGGACCCAGGGGGTAACACAGACCCACACCCCCCCAGCGCGCCTGCCATTCCCTTCAGGATGGCTGCGGGGGCTGCCCATGCCTTGGGGCGCACCCGCCATCGAACCACAGAGCAGTGGGAGCGTGAAGGGACCATCCAGTGCCACCCCCTGCCCTGGGCAGGGACACCTCCCACCAGACCAGGTTGCCCAAAGCCCCATCCAGCCTGGCCTTGAACCCCTCCAGGGATGGGGCAGCCACAGCTTCTCTGGGCAACCTGGGCCAGGCTCTCACCACCCTCAGAGGGAAAAACGTCTTCCTGATCTAAATTTACCCTCTTCCAGTTTGAAGCCCTTATCCCTCATACTATCACTTCATGCCTTTGTAAAAAGTCCCTCCCCATCTCTCCTGTAGCCCCTTCAGGTACTGGAAGGCTGCTGTAAGGTCTCCCCAGAGCCTTCTCTTCTCCAGGCTGAACAACCCCAGCTCCCTCAGCCTGTCCTCACAGCAGAGGTGCTCCATCCCTCTGAGCATCCTTTTGGCCCTCCGCTGGACCCGTTCCAACAGGTCCATGTCCTTCCTGTACTAAGGACTCCAGAGCTGGACACAGTGCTCCAGGTGGGGTCTCACCAGAGCAGAGGGGCAGAATCACCTCCCTGGACCTGCTGGCCATGCTTCTGATGCGGCCCAAGATGCAGTTGGCCTTCTTGGCTGTGAGCACACATTGCTGCCTCACGTTGAGCCTCCCATCCACCAACACCCCCAAGTCCTCAAGGCTGCTCTCCAGCCATTCTCCATCCAGCCTGTATTGGTGCCAGGCCATCTGCAGACACAAAGCCAAGGGGCAAGCTGGCTTCCCACTGTCAGGACAGGGAGCAGGGAAAGGCCCATTTGTCTGCTGAAATGGGGGCATTTGGCCCAGCTGCACACTTCTAGGTAAAAGCCATCACCATTCAGGTAAGGATGGGTCCTGCTCCCAGCCAGGAACCACCAACGTGTTTAAGGAGAGCAAGGAGGAACACAATGCCACATTTCAAAACAAGTCGGAAAAAATCACCTCTGGAGGATAATAATGACAAAAAACAAGCAGCGCTGTAGGCTGGCCCCCCAACTGTTTGGCCAAAATGCCAAGAAGGTTAGAAGCAAACACACAGGGGTCCACTGGCACAGAAAGCTCAGCAAATGAGGGCAACATAAGACCATGCCTGATGGCTTTTCCCAAAATCCTCTATTTTCCACCATCAGAAAAGCCCAAATCCCAGAACGTTGCCAAACCGGAGGACAGGCAACCTCCTGGTGGAGAGAAACCACACTACATTCTTGGGATGGCCCATGAGCCAGCGACATAGGAAGAAACATTCCCCGTGGGTGTGTAATTCTGCACATTGTGTTATTTGCATGGCACTTGTCCTCCGATCTACCACTCCAGCCACGAATCCAGCCCAGGGCTAGAAGGACAGCTATGCAAACAATGCTGCCTCTCCTCTGGGAGAAGACAACTCACTTTTAACCATGCCCAGAAGAGAAAGAGCTCTCCCTAGGTCCAACGTGGAAAGCCTGCTTTGGACATGGGAGTTGTGGGCATCTCCTGGTACCTGTTCATCACACAATCACCAGCAGCCATGCATGTCCTTCATCGCAAAAACATTCCTGTTTCATCTCTGTCCTTCATTCTGGCAGAGTTTAAAATGCTGGGGCCCCAAATGATGCCCCTTGATGAAAAAGATGGTGGGACTTTTGCAAAGCTCCCTGAGATAAGTGGGAGAAGGATCCTTAAAACAGAACATGGGAAACCCCAAGGGGGGGGATGAAAGGAAAGAAAGCAGAACAGAATAAATGGGGTTGCTCAAATGAGGTATTGCTGGAGGAGGAACAGGGCCCAGCATAGGGAAGGAGGAGCAGGGATAATGCAGATGGGAGGGAATAGGGTGGGAAGGGGACACGCAGCACTTGTTCAACCAACTCCTAAAGCCAGGCAGCTATTACAGTGAGATCAGCTATCAGCTGAGATAATTCCCAGTGTAATTCCAGTTAAACCCAGGGTATTACATTTGGGATTAACTCAGCTAAGGGTCACTTTTTAGCATCTCTCATTGTGTAGATTTTGTAGATTTCTTTGTAGAATTTTTTTTCGTGGATTCATTTTGTAGAGTGTTTTTTCAATTGCAGAGCTGCAGATTCAGTTCCTGCCATAAAAACAATATAGCGTGGATGGAAGAACAGCCAAACAAGCCCAAACGCATTATCCATTAGAAAAACACATCCTGGTAAAAGGAACCCCGCTGCAACCATCGCCTAGCAAGGACACAGGCTGTGCCTCATTCCCTGGAGGACATCAGAAAAAGGTCACATGAAATGACTGAAAGTCTGGGGGTGCACAGCAAAATGGCACGAGCTGCTCAGCTTTCCCACCAGCACAGTGGCACCCAAGTGTCACCTAAGGCTGCCCAGCCCGTTTAGCTGCTGCTCAGAGGTGACATTACGCCATGTTCAAATCAGAGCACACAGAGTCAGCATCTCATCTTTTATTTGCACATGGATTTGACTAAATTTATTACTTTGTAAGAGCTTCAGAACTGATCAAATCAACGCTGGCCTCGCAGGGAAAGTACATAAAACCTCAGGGAAAACACAGGTGATTACAGATTAACCTTAGTTGTCACTGTATTTGTGGATCTGCTCTACAGGAGCATAGAATAGCCTGTTATTATCTCTGATGAGTTAATATGCATCTTAATTTCTATAAGTATTATTTTTAGGTGGGGGTTTTCTGTTTGTTTAGTTGGATAAAAGCATTTCCTATTCTCCTTTTGCAGAATGAGTTTTAAATTCACTGCTTTACACGCTTACCATGACACCTTTCCTGTGTGTATGTTCAGTAAAGAAAAAGGGTTGAAAATCTGCCTGACAGACCAAAACCAAGCAGAGAAATACATTTACTGAAGAAAGAGGGGCAGCAAGAAGGGGTCTGTGTAAAAGCAAAGGCAGGAAGAGGGGCTTCTGTAACCATAGACCACTATAAACCACTCTGGCTTGATATAAAACTAGTTCCAGTGAGGACATTTTTGAAGGAAAAAACCAGTTCTCATTAAAAATGAACAGTAGAAAGACAGAAACCCCGTGTTATTAAGTAACGCAAAAAATAGCAGTGAGAGCATGTAACACCTCCATGTTTCCCCTTGATACCTATCAGTCAGACAGAAACAAGTCAACGTTATCTCCATTTGTTGCATCATTCTTCATTTTGTACTTCATTAAAGTTACCTCCCTTCTAGGAATTAAACTGACTGCTCATAACCTGCCTAAGAATTTGAGCAAACAAGGAATGTTTTTGTATATAAAAGATTAAAGTTTTTTTCTCCTCTGCTTTCCCAAGCACGATGCAGAAGATGGTATGAACTTCTGTAACATTAATTTCTAATATTTAAATATATATGGCTGCTACCTCAAGTTTTTAATTTGTGTGTGCTTTTCAAGGTTGTAATTGATGAAACAGAATCCAAAATAAAGCAAAAAAGAAAAAAATCTTGTTGCTTACCTCAGGAGACATGCAAATTAGTGACAATTCATTTTCATTGAAGAACTTCTTAGGCTCTTTAAGAAACTGTAAGAGCTGGGGAAAGCAGCAACCACAGCAAAGCAGGCAGGAGGTGAAAATCCCTCAAGATGGAAGAAAAAAGAAAAAGGAACCGCAATACCCTCCCTGCTTGGTTAAAAGTAGCTTCAGGAATGATTTGGCAACTTTTGGGCCTTACTACATTGGATAAAGCATTACAGGAAATATTTTTAGTTGTGAAAATTCTCACTCTGCTCACAGGATGGGAGACTTTTTTCCACTCCTTACCGGGAGGGACAGAAGAAAGTTATGCCCTTGAGCACGCAGGACAGGGAGAAGTCCGTATTGCCCTGACACTGAGATCTCAAATAGGTAATAAATCTCCAGACAAAAAGCTTAAGAGCCCATTGTGCAACCTACTGTTCCACTAACAGGACCCACAGAGAGGAAAACCTATATTTAACTCCAGCAGACATGACCGGTGAGCAGCTGCTTGGGAGGCATTTGCTACAGTTATCTTCCCAGTTCAAAATCCACTGCAGTACCTTCCTAACCAAAAAACCAACCTGTATTGTACATTTGGGAAAGCTGGAGTAAGCAGGAAGGATGGCTGAGCTTGAATTTGTGTGCCACTGAAGACAAGCTCTCCCACATGCCAGGGCTATGCCAGCCAGACAAGCGATCCTCCCTGCACCCAAACTATTCCCCAACTAGACTGTCTCCTCCCTGTTTTATTTGCTTTCCTACCATCTGGGAACCTGCAGATGAAGGCTTCAGCTTCAGTGCCTTGCTTACTTTTCAAGTGATGGAGACAAAGCTGTCATCTTCAGCATCACTTCTTCTCAGCTTCTCCAGCTTTGTTTGGATGATGTTCTCCTACATGATCAGCAAAGCACCTGCACTTCCATGCTCCTGCAGTCCACAGCTGCCTCAGCATTCCTCTGAGCTCACTCATCACCTGTAAGCAGTGAGGAAGAGATCCTACAGAGGACAAACAGCCTAAAGACAGCTCTCAGATATGAGCCCACGGGGTAAATCAGTGGAGAAGCATCTAAGGCAGGCAGACCCAGGCTCAGCAGCTTTTGGTCACATGCAGACAATGAAGTCTCAGGTGAGACTTTCACCCCAGTTAACGGACTGTCCTTCAGTCACCAGGAGTCTAACAAATTCTGCTTATCATATATTGAATGCATTAAGAGTGGTACCATTGAAAATTAAATATTCCACAAGTGAATCATAGAATCATCTAGGTTGGAAGGGACCTTAAAGATCATCTAGTCCAACCATCAACCTGACAAAAAAATAAATAAGAAATAAGCAATAAAAAAAATCACTAAACCATAT